ATGGGAACTGTAGTTTATTGTGGCACCAGAGCTCTCTTGACAGAGAAGACTCAATGTCTCAGGAAAAAAACAACAACCTACAATTCCCATTATTCCCTAGCACTGAGGGAGGGTAGTCTCAGGGAAAAAAACTATAATTCCCATGATTCCCTAGCACTGAGCCAGGGCAGTTAAAGTAGTCTCAAACTGGATTATTTCTGGCAGTCTGTTCAGGCTCTAAGTCTGTTATATGGATAACTAGAGAGCTCTCTGACAGAGAAGGCGCAATGTCTCAGAAAAAAAAAAACTACAATTCCCATGATTCCCTAGAACTCAGCCAGGGCAGTTAAAGTGGTCTCAAACTGGATTATTTCTGGCAGTCTGTTCAGGCCCTAAATCTGTTATATGGGTCACCAGAGGTAGGTACTGTAAAAGCTTCTGAGAGCAGGCTTGCCAGCCTCTTTTAAGTATTATCAGACTCCAACTCCCATCAGCCCCAGGTAGAATAGCCACCAGGAAGGGAGGATGGGAGCTGGAGTCACGGGTCTGAAACACGGGTCCAAAACACACTGCAGAAATAATGCAGTCTGAGACCGCTTTAACTCCCCTGGATCAGTGCTAGGGAATCCTGTGAATTGTAGTTTATTGTGGCACCAGAGCTCAGGCTGAATGTCTCACAAAACTACAGTTCCCAGAATTCCCTAGCATTGAGCCAGGGCAGTTAAAGTGGTCTCAAAGTGGAATATTCCTGCAGTGTGTTTTGGACCATAGAATCTTTGAATTGGAGGAGACCCCAAGGGCCATCCAGTCCAACCTCCTGCCATGCAGAAAGAAGCACGACTAGGGGCACTCCTTAAATCAGGGGTAGGCAACCTTTCCCTTTAAGGGCCGAGGGACTCCAGTACCCAGTAGCCTCAGCCATGTTGGCCAATAGTCCCATGTTGACCAATAGCTCCTGGGATTCTAGGAGCTGAAGTCCCTCAGCCCTTAAAGGGGAAAGGTTGGCTACTCCTGCCTTAAATCAAGGAACAAACCTTATTAGAATCCTAGGATCCTAGAGTTAGAATTGGAAGAGACCCCAAGGGCCATCCAGTTCAATCCCATTCTGCCATGCAGGAACTCACAATCAAAGCATCCCCGACAGATGGCTATCCAGCCTCTGCATAAAGACCTCCAAAGAAGGAGACTCCATCATTCTCCCAGGGAATGTGTCCCACTGTTGAATAGCCCTTACTGTCAGGAAGTTCTTCCTAATGTTGAGGTGGAATCTCTTTTCCCGTAGCTTGCATCCATTGCTCTGGGTCCTATTCTCTGGAGCAGCAGAAAACAAGCTTGCTCCAGCCTCAATATGACACCCCTTCAAATACTTAAACAGGGCTATCATATCACCACTTAACCATATCTTCCCCAGGCTAAAGATCCCCAGCTGCCAAAGGGCCTTTACAGACTGCCAGAAATAATGCAGCTTGAGGCCACTTTAACTGTCTTGGCTCAGTGCTAAGGAATCATGGGAACTGTAGTTTATTGTGGCACCAGAGCTCTCTGACAGAGAAGGCTCAATGTCCCAGAAAAAACTACAATTCCTATGATTCCCTAGCACTGAGCCAGGGCAGTTAAAGTGGCCTCAAGCTGCACTATTTCTGGCAGTCTGTAAAGGCTCTGAGCCACTCCTCATAGGACATGGTTTCCAGACCCTTCTCCATTTTGGTTGCCTCCTTTGGACACGCTCCAGTTTCTCCTCATCCTTTTTGAATTGTGGTGCTCGGAACTGAACACTGTTCCAAGTGAGGTCTGACCAAAGCAGAATAGAGTGGTACTATTGCTTCCCTTGAGGTAGACACTATACTTCTATGCAGCCTAGAATCACATTGGCTTTTTTAGCTGCCGCATCACACTGCTGACTCATGTAGTCTCTCTTCTGTTTTTGTTTAGAATATTAAGCTTACTAGGGAGGAAACGTATTATTAGTGTATAAGTTATAATACAGTTTATTTACTTCTTAGCTGCATTTGGATCCTGCCACTCCTCCAAGAAGCCCAAGGTGGCATATATGGCTTTTCTCCTCTTTGCTTTGTCCTCACACCAATCTGAGAGGTAAACTGGGCTGAGAGAGAGTATGGGCCTGTACAGACTGCCAGAAATAATCTAGCTTGAGACCACTTTGACTGTCCTGGCTCAGTGCTAGGGAATCATAGGAATTGTAGTTTTTCTGAGACATTGAGACTTCTCCATCAGATAGCTCTGGCGCAACAATAAACTACAGTTCCCATGATGTAGTTTATTGTGACACCAGAGCTCTCTGACAGAGAAGACAAAATGTCTCACAAAACTACAGTTCCCAGATTTTCCTAGCATTAGCCAGAGCAGTTAAAGCAGTCTCAGACTGGATTATTTCTGCAGTGTGTTTTGGACCATGGTGATCTTTTTGTTTCATCCAAAAATATTCTTCTACCTGAAAGGTGGACAAGTTGTGAGGGGAGGTAAGGATCCTTTAAACCTCCTCCCACTGGATCCCACCCACCACCACCCCAAGCTGGTGTCATATCACCAACATTTGGCAAAGCGACAGAAAATTCTCAAGGGAAAATTGTGTTTTTTGTTAGTATGCGTTGAGTCTCCCTAATCTAGAATTCCGAAATACTCCAGAATCTAAAATTGTCCAAATGGGTGCCTGATTTCTTTTTTTTTTTATAAAAAAAACTTTTATTAAATTAAAAAAAAAACATACATACAAAATACCTACTTGACAAAATACCAAATACAATATCAAAGACAAAACACAAAACACAAGCTAAACATTAAAGACAAATCATCAAAAGACAACATTTACGGTAACTTCCTAAACTGAAACCTAGGATTCAAAAACATCAAAAACAAATA